AAAAAAAAAAAAAAAAAAAAAAAAAAAAAAAACTTTTTCACTAATGACAACTCAAAATATTTTTAGTAACTGAACAAAAAAGAAATCTAAAACAAGCAAACGAAAAAACAACAACAACAACAACGAAGAAGCCGAAGAATGAAACAAAAGAGTTCCAAGTACAATTAAATTCGCAAACGGCTCTGAAAATATTTTTGGGAAAAAAGTAACGAAAAGTGAATCAAAAATAGTTGTGGATACTACAAATCTGTTATTGATGTTTATGCGATATGAAACTTTAAACAAATGAGTAACATATACGGTTGTCTTATAACTAACCATTAACTTCATCTATCAGCTATTCAAATATAGGTTTGCTATTCCAGGACTTCGACGTTTGCAGTTCGATTTGGACGTCAGAGCAAAAAGAACTTAACAGCAAAAAAGCATCTTTCCCTAATCATCGTTACCGGGAGGTTTTGCTTCTAACAACAACGACAACAACAGTTCAGTATTTGAGATCCAAAAACGTTTTAATGTAGCTTCTTGACTCTTTATAAAGCCCAAAAAACACCAATTGTCTCATCCCTTCCTTAAAGAAAACCCCAAATAGAATAAATAAAAGAAAAAAAAGTGATTTAGCTAAACAGACTTTAAATAAACACTCCTTCACATGCAGACCCGTCGAAAAGCTTTACGCTTCTTCAGAGACGAAGAAAATTTCTCGACAACAAACATCGACAATGAAGACTAAGTATTATAAAAAAAATAATACAAATATTCCCATATTCCTCCTCATTCCATGCGCTATCATTTAAATATTTGCTGAGTCTTTCTATCCTCCAGAAACTGGTAAATATGTCTGGTGTCGTTGAGCAATGAAATTTACATCACCTAGCTACTAAGCTCAACGTTCGTTTCCTTTCCTCAACCAGACAACGTCGCAATTGTTTCCAAAAACAGTCATTAAAAAAACCCACTAAAGCAGCACTAAGAAAGAAGAAAAACGGAACAGAGGACAACGAAGGAAAAAAATTAATTCGATTAAACAGTAATGGGTGTCCTAAAGATGGGAAATGAATGATAAAGAAATTGCTCGGAAGAATTGATTTGAAAGCAAACTACGCTTCCTTTAAGGGCCTTATCCAAATTGAAGTTCTTTTTGATGTGCCAAACAAAACCAAAGCCAAAAAAAAGCTACATAAATATATAAATGAATAAAAAAAAAGTTTAGATGCTTTCAGATTCAATAAATTTGAAAAAAAAAAACGCTTTTCTTTTCCTTTTACAATCAATTTTTTTTTCGCAGCCTTTCAATTCCT